TTTTTTTCTCTTGTTGGTTTGTTGAATGGGGGAGCGTGGGATAGGTTGGGTTTGGATTGGGCTGATGAGTATAGTTTCTTTGGGGAGCAGGAGGGCGCGTTTGAGTTGGAGGTGGAGTGGATCAAGGGGATACAGGTGGACATGGGGAGGTATCGAGATGAGCCGGATGCAAGTGAGGATGATGAAGGTGAGTGGGATGAGAAGAGGTGGAGTGAGGAGGATACTCGTGGATCAGGATCAGGATGGTTGTGCTGTGGTATATTCTAAACTGCCGAGGCAAATGCATACCACAATAGAAGAACGGTATATTCTAATATTATAGTTCCGCAACGACGGAATACGCCCCCGTCTTGACAAACGTTTCCAGAATCCGCATCAACCGGTTCAGCTGCACAGCATCCTCTGCACCCACGGTCACGGCCGCCCAGCTGGACTCTCGCTTGCAATCATGCACCCACGAGTTGATGATCATCCTCCCGTCCATGATCTCTCCCGTAAACTGGCTCTCAAACGTACTCCGCGTGCATCGCAGGACCAATGGCGAGAGAATCGCCGCCTCGAACAGCCCCCGCTGCATGAAATGCGTCTTGAGCAGCCCAAACGGATACGACCCAGTGACCCGCGGATTGACGTCCACGATCGCCTGCTTCCCATGTTGATCCGTCATGATATCAGCCCCCGCGGGCCCGTAGTACCCCTTCTTGTGTAACTCCCTGCCTAGTGTCTCGAGTGTACTCCGGTACCGATTCTGAAAGGCCGGCTCTAAAAGATACGAGACGCGTGCGCCCTGCCAGTGTCCGTCAAGGTCGAACTGTTGTTGAGATGTCGCAAGATAAATAACGCGTCCTCGTTTCGTAACGAAGAATGTCACCCCGTGAGCTTCCCCGGGTACCAGTTCCTGGATCACGAAACTGGCCGGGTACAGTCGCTCATTTTGTTCGTGGACCTTACCGAGGGTGTCTTGGAGAAACCCGTGGAGCTCGTTGCACGTAGATTCTCTATCCGATTCGCTGCGGACGACGTATGTTCCCCGACCAGACGTAGCAATGGACACCTTCACCACAAATGGGAGTTCCTGTACCTGCACCGCACGCAGCATCCGTCGGATCTCCGCATCCTGGCCGCCCCCCCAGCCCTGCATCGGGAGTGGGTCGATGACCCTGGATTTCGGGGTCGGCACACCACACCGGGCGAGCCAGCGTTTGGAGAGGATCTCGTAGTGGACGTTGGGATCCAAAACCGGATCGAAATGACACAGACAGTCCTGTGGGATCACCACGGCGGTGGGGGAATCCGGGACCAGCTGGCCTCGTGCAAGTTTCGGATGAATTGTACGTTCGGTCGCTGATCCGGACCAAGTTGGTCGTAGACTCCAAGGACATCTTCCTGGGACGCGTTCACGATGGCGTCGAGATCGTCCCCTCCGTTGCCGCTCAGGTCCACCATAATGACGGATGAACGGCCGGCCAGGAACGAATTTCGCTGAGCGATACCGCGTTTTAACAGATTCAGGATCTCCTCCTCTGAATCCGTTCCGGGGAAACTGGAGGCGTACAGAAACTGTACGGCCGAAGAATGCGGGATCTGGTCTCGAGGGAACTTGCATGGGAATTCAAAGGCCAGGGTGATGTCTTGGGGGGTATCGCTGTCCAATGCATAGAGATCGCGCAAGGTATAGTCGAGTGTCACCGGCCTGCTCGACACAACTGGACGAGGCGATGCCACCGGCAGGGGCTGCAGCAGTTTCACAGCAGTCATGTTTGTGAAGCTCTAGCGATCGGGTGTATTGTTTGTCTGTTCAAGTTCCTCCCTGAACTTGTAGAAGAGTAGGTCTGCATCCATGCCACATGGTTGCGGAGTGGTTGATGGTCGACGTCAAGGGGCGTCATGGAGGAAGTCGATTCCCGTTCGCGGTCAGCATTGCGTGGGTTGAGCCAAACTCGGGTCTGCATCAAGCTTCCGTTCAGTCGATAAGAACAGACAGGACCACGATCCGGCGGTGGGTCATTGTGGGAGCATTGGCCATGGCTGGCTGGATGCCCGAGTCTGCGGCGATGTAACCTTGGATGTCGTGATTTATGGATCCGCAGCCGGAGAATAAGCTTGTTCGTTGTGCTCATCCCATCAGGCATTGAGAGATCCTCGGATGGTCGCCGTCAAAGAGTGTAAGAATTGGGTAGCTGAAAATTGATAGACGCTGCTGGCTGAACCCCCGCATCCTACCTTCCCTGACTGGAGGGAAACTGCCCTCTGCATCATCGAAATCAGACAGCCATCCCACCTCCGAGCTTCTCGGCAAGTCCAGTCTACCTATAGGCGTCAGATAAACTTCCTAGTTGCAGCCACTGCCCAAAATAGCAACATTGCTAACTCTGGTACGAGAGTAGGGCGAAGTGGTCAGACGAATAGTTTTACAGACAATCTACTCCAAGACCAGATCTGACCAGCAATCCCACAGTTGGCCTTCCTTCCGTCGAATCTGGGCCACTTTGACTGTATTTCTCCAGTCTCGGTTCGGAGCATTGGCTAGTATCAGTCAGCCGTCAGTGGTCTCCAGCGATCCGATTGGCAGCAACGAGGTACCTCATTGGATGCCAATGCCCTAGCATCAACATCGAATTTATTCGCCGGAGTCATGCCATTCTACCCGACCGATCCATGACAGGTCAGCTGTCAGGATGCCTTCATTATAAGCTTACATCTTGGCAGCGATTGAAGAATCTGGCTTGACGAGCGAGAATAAGCGCTAGACTGTGTCACTGGCTTGTTGGCGGGTCATAGGGGCTGCCAATACACCGAGTCTTCGTCACAGCGCCTACCAACTTGCCTCTGTATCATCATATTGCAGTGATTCTGCACGGTTGGATAGTGAAACAGGAACTGGCTGAGCGACAGGTGTAGACTGATTGATTGAACCAGCAGCATCGATGCAACCCAGCGTATGTTGTCATCCGACCTGCGGCATCCCGCAGCGGGCTGAACTAGTTCCCTCGCAGGTTGCACCAACCTTATATCTGGGATGGCGGCCGGGCAGTGTAACACCCCCTACTTTGCATTGACGGCGCCGACCCGGTGCTGCTTGGCATCGGCGGTTCCTGAACCAACCAGACCGAATGCCTGCAATGAGGGTAGCATCGGCTGGGACATATATTGCGATATTGTATACCCTCCGAAACCTACTCAATAGCTGTATACTAGAAGTCTCCGTCGAGCAGTAGCACAGATAGTCATGAGTTCTGAGTCGACGATGCATAGTCAATAACAATCCTCAACGACAAGCATAAATAGAGGCCTCCGACGCGCCCTCCAAGGCATCATCCTCGACATCAATCGCGACAGACTCACTTCATTGCATACAGCTAAATCGCCGGACAACTCCAAGCACGTTTCCCTTCCACCACCCCAGAGATAAACACTAACGATGAAAACACAGCACCATGAAGCTCAGCTTGATCGTCATGGCCCTTCTTGGCCTCGCCATGGGCGCCACTTCGGAGCAAAACACCGCCGACATTGGATCCACCAAGGTCACTGACGGAACTCTCGGCGTAAGCCCCTGCCCCCTATTTACTTGCTCTACCTAATCCTTGAATGACATAGATCGACTACTGTGGCGAACGCTGCGAATATGACTGGGAGTGTCGTCGCGGGGAACGTTGCCATGATTGCTACCGTCAACGCGGTGAGGTGCGTATAACATGCCATATCCGAAAAGGACCATGACTGAATATTTCAGCGCTACGGCCACTGCCGTCGTAGACGCTCTGATGATGCTTGACTTTACTCAACTTGGTCTTACTCCGTATGGCCTACTTACTCAAAACCTGGTAGGGGATGCAGAGGGGGTAGGTGATGTTTGCTGCCAGGGGTTGAGAATTAGCAGTTAGTATATTACCAAGGCTCTGTGAATCAACGGTTACTTTTCATTGCTTGCAATTCCGTATATCATACCCTCGTAAAGGTAATCCATATCTTTCACGACCTCGTACAACAGTAGAGACATCCCAGCAACCCAGAAAATCAACTTTCCCCTATATAATCATATTCATGCCATCCACTAAACCTACTCTTGCGTCCCGGCTTCGGCTCCGATACAACCTGGAACCAGTGGCCTTGCATTCTCTCGACCAATCAATGAATCCATTTCAGCCAAGTCCACGCCCTTTCTAAACAAAACGGAACAATGACCTCTGGTATCCATTCCACCCAGACCCGGAGGTACTTTTACGATGATCGAAACCGATCTGATAAGATGCGGACCTTCGCGGAGTATCTGCCTGATTCCTCATAGTCTAATAAGGGACTATAAGTTGGCTGTCTGGGCTCGCTACTTATACGGTGATTGTGACTGGTAATTTTGATGGAATCGTTTTGTTTGAAGCTTCCCGACTCAGTTATAGACATAGTATCCTCTTTACGATAACGTTTGAGTCTCCAACTTCCGAAATCTATCAAGGTGGTCATCACACACCTCACATTTCTCCTTCTTCACCAGCATATCCACAAAATCACCACACCGCGCGATGTTCTAACCTAACCCACTCCCACCGGGTATCGTGTGGTCGCAGGGGAGTAGAATAGTCAGGTTCAGTTGACGTGGGTGGTACCCAGGGTTTCGACGGGAGGCTGAACTAGTGATAGCACCAGCTGGGCGAGGATCTAGACTGCCAGTGTGGAGGTTCGAGCCAAGCCCTATGAGGATGCAGAAGACCGGTCAGTATGACTGGTCGTTTGTTGGGTATGACAGGTCTATCTCCAATAGACAGCTCATCTCAACATCGTCCAGCTATAAAAACCGACAGCTGCAGAGATATCCCCTGAATTGAGTTTCCCGCTCTCACAATGCGCGTCTACTCATCGATAGACCCCAGCAACGCCCTCGCCTTCCACAACGGCCGGATCTACACCATCAACGAGAACCAGCCCTGGGCAGAAGCCTTCATCGTCTCCCCGACCGGCATCATCGACCACATCGGGAGCAACAAAGCCATTCTGAAGATCGCCGCCTCGCGCGGTCTCGTCCAATATGACCTCCGCCAGCGCTTCGTCATGCCCGGCATTCACGACGCCCACACCCATCTACTCATCGCGGGTCTCCAAGCCCTGAACGAAGCCCGGATTGGCTTCAACTCCACCCCCGACAACCTCCCCTCCCGACTCGCTCACAGCGCCTGCGCCTGCGCCTTCGCCAACGTCACGGGCGACTGGCTGATCGGAAACTTCTACCAGGCCAGCCACTTCCCCGATGGCATTCCGGACCGGAAATACCTCGACGAGCGATACCAAAACAAGCCCGTGCTCATCCGCGAAGTGTCGTGTCATCGGATTCTGCTAAACACGGAGGGACTTCTCCGCGCGGGGATCGATCCCAATGGTGCTCCCGATCCCGAAGGCGGATATTACGTGCGGCGCAGCGATGGGAAACTGACGGGTGAAGTCGTCGAGAATGCCATGACGGCGGTGTTCGACTGCCTCCCTATCCCCCCGTTGGCACATGTGAAACGGGCCATTCATCAAGCCACGTCCATCTGTCATCGATACGGAATCACTTCCTGCCAGGAAGCGTCCGCTAATACCCTGTACCTCCACGCCGTCCGGGAACTAGAGCAGGAGAACCGTCTTGATATGGACATCTACACGCACATCGTGTCCGCTCCGGTATACTTCGCCATGGAACCGCAGGACAGTCTAGCCGGGTTATTGGACGTGGCCGAGGGATTCCGCAGCAAACATGTCCATACGCAATTTGTCAAGTTCTGGCTAGACGGGGCTCCTCTTCCGCCTGAATTCACGCAGGCGGATCTGGATGCGAATGGGAGACCGATTCCCACGCATCTAGCGCTAGATGCGGAGTTTCTGTTTGAGGCTGTCAAGAAATACGATAGTCGGGGCATGACCTGCAAGCTGCATGTTGCAGGGGAAGGCTCGGCGCGACAGGCGCTTGATGTGATTGCCCGGGTACGGGCGAGGAATCCGGCTGGTCCGCGACATGAACTGGCGCATTGTAATGCGGTGCATGCTGGTATGTATTTCCCCGGATGTGAGGGAAGCTAGCTAATGGCAGATGCAGATGACATCGCGCGGTTCGCTCCGTTGCGGGTGACGGCGGAAATGTCACCGGCCATCTTCCATCACGACGTGGTGGACGAGTATCCCGAGCTGAACAAATGGGCCTTTAACGGGGTACTCGCCACGGGCGCACTCATGACCATCGGGTCAGACTGGATGTTACCCGAGACGCCATCGTTGTTCGATGCCTTGGCGGCGATTGTGAAGCGGGTGCGGTATTTACCTGGCGGGAAGAGTCGACGGCTCGCGGTAGGGGAGACGGCGATGCAGCGAGGCGGGGAGATCCTGTGTCGGGTGTTGACTCTCAGCGGGGCGGAGGCGGTTGGGGCGCAGCACCGGACGGGCAGTTTGGAGGTGGGCAAGAAGGCCAATTTCATTCTGGTGGATCGGGATTTGAGCCAGGGGGAGTTTCAGGGCGCGACCGTGTTGGAGACGTGGTTTGAGGGCAGGAGGGTGTTTCCGGCCGAGTGATGCAGGGTGCATAGCCCTAGGTATATCAAGGAAATTAATGGCGTGTGACATGAACAAAGAATTCGGCGTAAGCCTATAGAGAAGTGCAAGCGTCGTGTTGCTGCCTGTTCCCAGTAGTTATTTAAATCAGCCCCCGCACTAACATCCGCCGCATCAACATCAACCATCAGAAGATGCGAATGCGCAGCATGTCGGACCACACCCATCTGCTTGAGTTCACGGCGGAAAAGCGCTTCCACCAGCGACTTGTCCTCCCTGCCGCAGCCGATCATGGCCCTCTGGCCGTTACCTACGCGGACATCGGGCCCCAGACGACGAATGGCACCCCCACCCCGACTATCCTGCTCATTCCAGGCATGGGGGGTTCTCGCCTGTGGTGCTACCATAAAGACTACCTGGCCAACAAGCTAGGAGTCAGGATGCTATCCATCGACCGGTACGCTTATTACTTGAAATATATCCACCAGGCTGACAGTGTAGGCCTGGCATCGGCGGATCGACCCCCGTCCCGGTAGCCAAACGAGTCACCATCTGGCTGGAAGCAGTGGCAGCGGTGTTGAAGCATCTGTCCATCCCACATGTTATTCCTTTGTCGCACAGTGCTGGCACGATCTACATCCTGAATCTCTTGTCGCAGCGCCGGGATCTTCTCTGGCCAAACACGCCGCTGGCCGTCTTGATGGGTTCGTGTATCTCAACAACCGGAATTGAGGCATTCTATGCCAAGCAACGCTGACAGGTACAGGACCATGGGTTGAACCCAAACACTCGGACATTCTATCATTGAAGATGGCCCAGATGCTGCCCAAAGCAATTCTCCATCAATACGATAAACTGATGAATCTCTTCGTAAAAGCCGCCCCCTCGTTCAGCGCCAGTGCGGCCGTCTTCTCGGCCATGGCCAGTAGCATTCCCAGCACCCGCGCCGAAGGCCCCAGTCGGTCTGAGGCTTGTCTCGCTGGGTACGGGATGGACGAGGAGGCGGCCAAGGTGTTAGACCGCTTGGCCATGGAGTACATCTGTCAGGAGGATACCTCCGGATTCAACGACGAGGCCGTGATCTGCCTGAAGAAGGGGCCGGGGCTGTGGGGAGCCTGCGAAGACCTGCCGGTGTATCTCCAAGGGCTAGTGCAGGCAGAAGAACGATACCGGGAAGGTCATCCTAACGAACAGCCTTTGAAGCTCAAGGTATTCTTTGCCGAGTCGGATGGGATGATTGGACCCAAGGGGCAGAAGTACTTTGAGGACTGTTTTGCGCAGGCCGATCTCCGGGGTGCCGTGTGCTTTGACTCGGTGGTCGAGAAAGGGACCGAGCACGACACCCTCTGGACGTCGGACACGGGGGTGTTTGAAAAGGTGCTAAGGGAGATCAAGGCCAATCTGTCGTAGATGTGCCTGTACCAAATGATGTGATCAGTTCCTTGTCAGTGAGAGAGTGTCTCTCACTGCCGATATCCGGCCATTTGTCAGCAGTGACCCCAACCATCTTTCGGTTCCATTAATAATGCAACCTTCTCTCCAACACTCCCGAGTATAAAATCGCATCGCATTGCCATCATGTCTGGTATGCAACAGACCTCATTCTTTCCCTTCCAGGCATCATCATGGGTTCCCTTCACCAAGCCCCCCGCGTGATTCAATCCGAGCACACCCCCTACTTCACCCCCGCCAACAATGGCGGTGCCGCCCTCCACCCCGCCGACCCCGACACGCCCACTCTGTTTCGCCCCCTACAGATTCGCGATGTGACCCTCAAGAACCGCGTCGTCGTGTCGCCCATGTGCATGTACTCGGCCGAAAGCGACCCCTCCTCACCCCTCCTCGGCGCCCTGACCGACTACCACATTGCCCACCTGGGCCAGTTTGCCCTCAAGGGCGCCGGCCTGGTGTTCGTCGAGGCGCAAGCCGTCCAGGCCAACGGTCGCATTTCGCCCAACGATGCCGGTCTCTGGGACCATTCCCCCGAATCGGAACAATTCAAGAGTCTCCAGCGGGTTGTGCGCTTCTGCCACAGCCAGGGTGCCAAGGTGGCCGTCCAGCTGGCCCACGCGGGTCGCAAGGCCAGCGCGGCTCCCCCGTGGGTCGCTGCGGAAGCGAAGAAGCCCGCCATTATCGCCGAGGAGAGCGTAGGAGGATGGCCGTCCAACGTGGTCGGTCCGAGTGGCGGGGAGGAACATATCTGGGGACCGGGATACTGCACGCCTCGGGCGTTATCGGTGGAGGAAATCCAGGAGCTGGTACAAGCCTTCGCCAAGGGCGCGGAGACGGCCGTCCGGGCCGGTGTCGATGTGATTGAGGTGCACGCCGCCCACGGATACCTGCTCCACCAGTTCCTGAGCCCGGTGACCAACAAGCGGACGGATGCCTACGGAGGCAGCTTTGAGAATCGCACTCGCATGCTCCGCGAGGTTCTGACGGCCATCCGTGCTGCCATTCCCAGCGGTACGCCGTTGTTCCTCCGCATCAGCGCGACCGAGTGGCTGGACGGGCAGGCGGTTGCGGAAGAATCGGGCACTTGGACGCTGGAGAGCTCGCTGCAGCTCCTGCCCTTGCTGTCAGAACTCGGGGTCGATCTGGTGGATGTCAGCTCCGGCGGCAATCACCGCGACCAGAAGATTAAGCTGCACACCAACTACCACATTGATCTGGCCTCGGCCGTGCGCAAGGCCATCCGTGCGACCGGTGCGAAGACGCTGGTGGGTGCGGTCGGCTTCATCACGGAAGCCGAACAGGCCAAGGGGCTGGTCGAGGGTGCTGATGAGGCTCACGCCGCGAATGCCACGGTATCTGGCCCGGAGCCTGTGGCCGATCTGGTGTTTATGGCGCGACAGTTCATGCGGGAGCCAGAATGGGTGATGAACGCGGCGAAGAAGCTAGGCGCGAAGGTGGATGTGCCGGTGCAATTTCGCCGGGCCATTTAAATAGAATAGACATGATTCAATAGACCAATGAATAAATAAATAGACCCAATGGAAGCAATAAATAATCAAAACCCCTCCGTCCGACAGCCGACCCGAGCCGCTGCGGAACGCGGAGACCTCCGAGGCCGGCTGCAGGCTGCAGTGCCAGCTATCAGAAGTCCGAACCTTGAAGACGCCACCCACAAATCGATGGTGACATGCGCTTACTCCTAGCTACTACCTGCTAGCAGCTCCATAGCTCCTATTTATTCCCCTCCCGATTACCCCGCGTTCTATCCAACCCATCACCAACATCACCACCTACACCCACCCACACCCACCATACCCTCCACACAAAATGGCCCTCAAACCCGGCGATTCCTTCCCCTCGGACGTAGTCTTCCAGTAAATCTCCCCCACTCCTCCCCCTGAAATGAGATTTAACAAGAACTTACAGGTACATCCCCTGGACCGAAGAAAGCGGAGATATCACGGCGTGCGGCATCCCCATCAACTACAACGCGAGCCAAGAATGGGCCGATAAGAAGGTCGTTTTGTTTTCGGTGCCAGGTAGTCCCCCCCTCCCCTTAACTATGTCATACATGCTGGAAGGAATCAAGAGCAGTTGCTAAATGAGGCGTTTGACAGGCGCATTCACCCCCACCTGCTCGATCAACCATGTCCCAGGGTACATCCAGAACCTACCCCAATTGAAAGAGAAGGGCGTGCAAGTGGTGGCGGTGATTGCGTCGAATGATTCGTATGTGATGAGTGCGTGGGGGAAGGCGAATGATGTGAAGGGGGATGATATTGTGAGTTTATCTCCTATGGGTGGGGGTTATGTTGGGTGGTGTGTGGGTAACTAATGGGGACAGCTGTTTCTGAGTGATCCCGACGCGCGCTTCTCGAATTCTATCGGCTGGGCGAATGCGGGTCGTACGGGACGGTTCGCTATTATCATTGATCATGGTAAGGTCACGTATGCGCAGATTGAGACGGAGAGGGGGGTGGTTAAGGTATGTTTTTTTGGCCTGTGGTTTAGGGATGTGATGGCTGACTGGTGCAGGTTTCGGGCGCGGATGCGGTTCTGGCTCATTTGTGATAGATGCAAATCTCTAGGTAATTCTCACTAGATATGAATGGAGCCAGCCATTATTCAGAGCATAATCCAGTGCGTAATTCTTCGAGTGATAGATTCCTGCGATCCGTTTACTGGAATATATATCCGCTGTAGATGAATTGACCCATAAGCACTGACCATTGTCCAGCTGCCTTGTTGGATACTTACAATGTACAACAACTCGAGATGAGTCTATCGCACTATTTCTTCACCAGCCAAGCATCCCCCAGCCCAAAGATGGCAATCGGAACTGGTTTCCAAGACGCATCGGTGGAACAATAGGCCCTGACAAAGCCCCACCAGCGATCCGCTCGACCGGCACCAGCAAAGACCAGAAAAGAAGTGCTTCGAATCGTACGCTGCTGATGGCGACGCTAATTGGCTTCGTGCCGACTCGATGAATCCATGTCTCAGTCTAACTATCTCTCGCCAAGGAAGATTTTCGGTAAGCAGCCAAGGATCGGAGATAAGACAGCTAACCGCGGCACCGCTGCGAAGCTAGACTGGTGCAAGTTGCCTGATGCTGTTAATTGTGACTTGTGATGATGCAACTTCAACATAGATATCAGACAGGCCTCAGTTGCAATGGAACATCAGAGACAACCACCGAATGCTGCTGAAAGCTGCCGACGAAAACACCGAGTGATGGAAAGCATCAGCGGACACTAGCCCTTTCCGGCTAGTGTCATCTGTCTACCAGCCAGCCAATAGCAACCAGGAATCCATCCATCCCACCAAAGCTTGGCCAGTTGATGTCATGACGAGACCCAGACTCGATACCCCCGCCAGGCACGACTTAAATACCCATTGACCCAGAATTATACCCTCAGGATTATCAAGCGCTTCAGTCTTCTCCATCCATCCAACCCTCATCAGTATCCATCAACATGGCTCCCAAGGTCCTCGTCGTTCTCTCCTCCCACGACCACCACAATGCCAACAACAAGCCTACGGGCTGGTACTTGGTACGTCCACCACCCCACCACCACCACTGCACAACCACTAACCTTATAGCCTGAATTCGCGCACCCCTGGGCCGTCCTGCACGAGAAGACCGAGCTCGTGATCGCCTCCCCCAAGGGCGGCAAGGCCCCTCTCGACCCGGGCTCCGTCGAGATGTTCAAGGACGACCCCGTGTCATCCAAATTTCACCAGGAGCAAGAATCCCTCTGGACCAACACCGTCAAGCTGTCTGACGTCAACGCCGATGACTTTGACGCCATCTTCTACGTCGGTGGTCATGGCC